GAGTTCACATGTCTCCACCTGCACCAGTTTGACATCAAACTCACTGCACTGCTGGTCCCCCACTTCTCCCCCAAGCCTGCTTCTCCTTTACATCCTGTGGCCCTCAGCACAGCTCTGTCCTGCAGCTACTCAGGTGACTGCACTGTCGTCTGGCCTTTCTCAAAAGCTCACAGAGTCACTTCAGGGCCTCACAGGGCTGTAAGACCTCTGCCTCCTTCCTGTGCCTCATCTGTGTTCCAGCTGGGCCTTTGTACCAGCCACACCCCCTGCTCAGAAGACTCCACTGTAGATGGTGTGCGGTTCATTATCTCACCTTCTTTAGGCTTTTGCATATGTCTCCCCCTGAGGTTTTAGCCCACCACTTCATCCTGCTCTCCCTTGCTTCCATTCTGTGCCTGAACTTTGGAACAAGATGTGCCATTCGTTCACTGATTATGCTCATTTTTCTCCCTGTAAGGCCAGCATGTGCAGGATGTTTGTTCATTTGTATCCCGATAAGTCCCCAGGGTCCACATGGGTACCTGGTACATAGTAGAATCACTAGGTTTGCACTGTGGGGAGCTTGTGGGGTGAGGGTATGCTCTGGTGGCCACTGGTGTAGGGGTCTGGTGGGAACAGGCTCTGGCTTCAGCCATGTCCCCTGGGCTGTTTGGGCGTGGGTTATGATCGGGCTGGTTCTGCATTCTCAGCCACTGTCTCACATCTGCCTTGCCCTTTGTCCCCAGTTTTCACAGTATATCCACGCTCAGGTAGCCACTGGCAAAGGGAAACTTGCTCCTGGCTTTGAGGCTGAGATGATCGTGAAGAATATGTTCACCAACCAGGACCGGAATGGCGATGGAAAGGTCACGGCTGAGGAATTCAAACTCAAAGACCAGGAGGCCAAACACGATGAACTCTAAAGCTGACATGAGCCAGGTGGATCCAGGGAGTGTATGACCCAGCCACCACTGTGGCAGAATGTAGGGAGGGTGAGGGCCATGGCAGTTTGTGGGCCATGCGGACCTGGTGCAAACTTCAGACTGGGGGATATCCATGAGAGCCTTAGCTAGTGGACAGATTCTGCAGAGGCCTTAGGCAGGCTGTGAGAAGTGCTAGAAAGGCTATTCTGCCAGTCTGAGTCTTCGGGCAATTTTGTCATTAAAGGAAAATAGGATCAGGTAGAAGTTTCCATTTCTTGGAGGAAACAGAATACTTTGTCCAACTCTCTATGTAAAGTGATTAAGTTTTTTATTTTTAACTTCCCAGTGTCTTAAAATGTTCTCTCCATGGGCAGGAGAAAGAGGCTTGCGTGCCTGGGAGAGTCCTGCTCTGCCTCTGGCTTTTCTCAGTGTTCTGTACAAACCCTGCCCTCCCCACCAGCCCCAGATCCCCACTTATTAGAATATCCCATCCCACCGGAGCCATCCCTCACTGGCACGTTAACGGGGCTTCCAGCAGACAACTCCACGGACCAATGAGTAGCTGTGAACCATGCTGTGTGGAGCATCTGCCTGGCTCTTTCCTCCCAGAGCCCATTCCCACCCCAGCCATGGCTGGTCCTCATGGCCAGGCCTTGTGGCCACTCAGCAGCCAAAATGACCTTTTCCTGCTGCTCCTTCCTGTATCCTAGAGGATGGTTTGGGGCTCCGCAGGTCACCCCTCTGCCACAGGAAGGCAAAGATACTGCTTGCTGGTTGCTTTTCCCATCATGCAGTGGTCACACTGTGCCTTTCTTCTGCCCTTATTTAGTGTGGGCACCACCCCTAGGCAATCAATCAACCATTTCCTTTGGAAACTGCCTTTGTTCTAAGGCTGTTGTTGCATGGATGTAGCCTTGAGATGGTTCACGGAAATGCTGTACTTTCCTCTAGTGGAATAAATGTTGGAAACTCAACCTCACTGATGTAAAATGTTGAATCACATTGTTTCATTGTGTGACATTTTATTTGGAGGTACAGAGGGTCCCTGGAGAACACAGTGACTGTGAGAGCCAAGCAGGACCCCACATGACAGTTTAGTACTTTCTGGAAAGGAAGTTATGCCTAGTGTGGGGGTGCAGGTCACGTGTTGTCTTGGGGGGACTCAGGGGGCCTGCAAGAAATCCAGGGGTCCTGAAGAGGAGTTCTTGAAAACTCTGTGGAAGTGAGGTAGGGTTTAGGACACCAGAGGGGTAATGAGGGCAGTGTTGGTTATCAGGTTGTTCACCCTGACCTGAAAGACAAGGAGAGTGGCTCACCCCTGTAATCCTAGCTACTCAGGAGGCTGAGACCTGAGGATTAGGGTTCAAAACTAGCACAGATAGGAAAGCTCATGAGACTTTTTAACCACAAAAAAGCTGGAGGTGGAACTGTGGTTCAAGTGGTAGAACACTAGCCTTGAGTGAAAGAGCTGAGAGACAGGTCAAGCCCCAGGACTGGCACAAAAACAGGTCAAGAAGAGGCAGCAGGAGAAGGGAGGGGCGGAGGCAGCCATTCAAGAGCCCTGGCTACCAGTGCAGCTGAGAGAAGTACAGATACCAGACTTTCTGCCCTTCCGGACTCCCTCCCTACACATGGCTACCTTCTCACTCTCCCATACTGCTGCCCTTCCATGCTTCTACCCTCCTATCTGTCCAACTTCCTGTCCATCCTTCAGCCTGTCCACCTGTCCTCCCTCCGTTTGTCTACCTTGCTGCCTATCAGTCCTGCTGCCCTTCCATCTCTCATCCTTCATTTCTCCCATACATCTACCCTTCTGTCCTATCCACATGCCCTTCCCCTCCACCTAGTAGTTCCTAGTAGTTGAACCTTGTTCAAGGCCAGAGGAATGGGGTGACCTGTGGGTGCAGAGAAATGTGGAGAATGGATCTGAGCTATGGGTTGAGGTGCTGGTATTGAGGCTTGAACTCAAGGCTTCATGCTTTCCTTTGGGTTTTTCAATCTAGGCTGGCACTATACCACAGCTCCACTTCTGGCTTTTTGGTGGTTAACTGGAGGTAAGAGTTTCACAGACTTTCCTGCCTGGGCTGGCTTTGGAACTAAATCCTTAGATCTCATCCTCCAGAGAAGCTAGGATTACGAGTACAGAGACACTGGCACCTGGCTAGTAATGCATCTTTGGATACGTGACTGCTAAGTTCTTGAATATATGGCAAGGTGTGGCTGTGGATGTGACAAGGGGACACATATGGAAGCTATAGGGTAGGGGCCTCAGAGAATACCCTATTTCAGGGTACTCAGCACAGGAAGTGACCCTGACCCTAATTTCCTCAGGATATGATAAGAGTTCAGGTCTTGGGTTGGGTGGTAGCTCAGTGGCAGAATGCTTGCCTGGCATGTGCAAAGCTGGGGTTTGACCCTTGCATCACAGAATACTTTTATAAAAGGACAATTGCAGGTCTTAAGGTTTTGTACACTTACATCATTTGTTTTTTTAATGGATGTATTATGAAGGCCTTTGGAAGGCATCTAGGATGATAGCAGAATGCTGAAATCCAACTAGCCATTTCTATTGTTTTTCTTCTTCTTCTTTTTTTTTTTTTGCCAGTCCTGGTACTTGAACTATGGGCCTGGGTGCTTCTTTTGCTCAAAGCTAACATTCTACCACTTGAGCCACAGCACCATTTCCAGCTTTCTGTTTATGTGGTACTGAGAAATCAAATTCAGGGCTTAATAATTGCTAGATAAGCACTCTACCACTAAGCCACATTCCCAGCCTTCTATTTTTTTTCTATGTGAAAAACCTTCCAGTAAGTTCTGACATTTCCATCACACTACCTGCTTTCCTGTATTAACTTCAAACCTGGAGCCTTGCACATGCTAAGTACACACTTTGCTTTTGGACTTTTCTTTTCCTTTTGCAGTGCTGGGGTGGGACCCAGGGTTTCTGGCTTTCTAGATAAGTGTTCTGTCACTGAGTCACCTCTCTGGTGCAAGCTGATTTTTGAGCTCGACCTTAGAAATACTTAAACAAGGTCTAGCCTACTTTTTGCTCTTTCCTATTTTGTTTCATTGTTTATTCTATAGAAGGAGAGGCAGTGCACTTCCTCCGCACCCCCAGAAATACCATCACAACATTGACTAGGAGCCAACTAACATGGTGTGTGGATCACAACTCAGATGCCACAACAAATCACTTAAGTAGCCCATGGCTTCTTAAGTTCAAGGTCAGAGGGTGAAATATATCACAGTGGCAAATCTAAGCCTATAAAAGGCAATTATGGAACAGAAGCAGATATTTTAGAGTAGAAGCTGGATTGGTTCCTAACCTGGTATTTCCCAGTTTATTCTGTTTTCAAACTCATAAGAAAGCACTTTCTCCAGAGGTTTTCAGTAGGGAAGAATCATTTTTACAGGCCTCAGTATTTTCTGGAGGACAGGCTGAATTTTCTCTGCAAATCTCTTTTTTTATGCTCGGATTTAAAGTACACGACTTTTAAAAATCATTTAAACTGGGCGCCAGTGGTTCCCACTTGTAATCATGGCTACTCAGGAGGCTGAGATCTGAGGATCACGGTTCAAAGCCAGCCCGGGCAAGAAAGGCTGTGAGACTCATCTCCAATAAACCACTAGAAACCTGGAAGTAGTGCTGTGGCTCATATGGTAGAGCTCTCGCCTTGAGCTGAAAAGTGCAGGGACAGCGCCCAGGCCCCACAACCAACAAAACAAACAGACACAAACAACAACAAAAAAAAATGGTTCAAAATAAATAGCCACTACAGCAAGGATGCTGGGACTCATCTGTCACAGAATGAAGGAAGGAGGAAACTCATGGCAGGTGATTGGTACAGTAACTGCTGAAAAATACAGCCAGGACAGCAGAGCTGAAAATGAGAAAGGCTTTTCATGTCCATACATGTATTATCACTGCATCACATGGAAAATCTGCAATGTTCAGCAACACGAGTGGCTGTCTGTGTCCCAAACACATCTACCAGTGTTTCCTAGGAAATTGTGACCAAGTATGTAACACAAGTGCAGAAGATGACAACACCCATGGTTATTACAAACCACAATAGAGCAGCCACACTAAAAATCATGCAGATTGTCACCATTTCATAAAAATGCTACAAATGTCCCTGTGGTTGAAGACCTCATGAAACCTTTAAACAAATGGCTCACTCTGGATGAGTGGGGAGATATGTTTCTAATTTTGGCTTTAAGTTGTTAAAAAATCAGTTTTAAAAATGTGGCGAGGAGTGTCTTGAGGTGGACATGAGGTGTTTCCAGCTGACAATGGACGCCTCTGAAAGCACTTCAACCACACAGAGTGAAAACTTCAAGAGCAACCACATTATAAACAGGAGTTCATCAGCACAATGGATGGGGAGATTGTATGGCTGTGCCCAAGGCAAAAACACTTGTTATAGAATCTTCTGAAAAATAGAGTTGGCCACCTCCAGTGATTCATCTTTGACTAAAACAATATCATAAGAGTCCATGTATTTTTCCAAAAGCTCTTCTACCTAAGAGAATAAGAGAGATAAGTCAGTACAGGGAGCAGCATACAATGTGCACATTAATCTCATCCAGGCAGAGCTATAGAATGTAGCAAATGAAATTCAAGTTCATAAAACATTCCTCAAACTTTAAAGGTTGACAGATGTGTTTGCCAAATGGTAGCTTTTCTTCCAGAAGGCTTTCTCTTCAGTCTAGTGGTCTTAACCAGACAGTTCTGACTGAGGGGAACTTCAAAGTCCTGAGACTTAATTTCTTTTGCTGAAGCCTAGCACTCTACCACCTGAGCCAAAACCCCACTTCTAGCTTTTTTCTGGTTAATTGGATATAAGAGTCTCACAGACTTTCCTTTCTAGGCTGGCTTTGAACCCTGATCCTCAGATCTCAGCCTCCTGAGTTGCTAGAGTTACGGGCATGAGCCACCATCACTGGCTGGAGACATTTTTGATCCTGGTGAGCAGGACGCATGCCCAGCACCTGTAGCCACCCGGGAGAGATGGATGCCTCTCATGGCCAACACTGGAGGCTCACTGCACTGGCCACCAAAGTGAAGAGGTGACATAAGCAGGTGCTAGTGCAGCTTGGGCAACAATCACCAGAAAGCTTCATCCTCATTTTTTCTTAAAAAGTAGCTGCAGACCTGATACTCACCCGGTCATTTAGATAGCCGATTTTCAGGACATGCTGGATGTTGGCGACTCCATCGGCCATCCGTGGGTCTCCTTGGGAGTCCCCCAGGAGGATGACATTACTGTTGTCCCTCACTTGGCCGAAACAGTCACTGTTCTTCAAGGCACCATTGTGCTTGTTAAATACGTGGATCAGCTCTCCCTTAAAACCCCTCAGCACCCCCTGTCAGAAATACAAGGATTTTGAAATGACAGCTTTCACCGACTGTCCTACTGCATAGTTCTTAATAGATTCACTAAGATTCTACTTATTTGTAAACATCGCTTTGACACCCAATCCAATCACCACACTCCCGAGTTTAAGTGCTCGGAGAAGAACTTTTCTTTTTTGTGTGCCTATCCTGGGTCTTGAATGCAAGGCCTGGGCACTATCTGAGTTTTTGTGCTTAAGGCTGGCATTGCTCCATCACTTGGAGCTACATCTCTGCTTTTGGTTTTTAAATGGTTAATTAAAGAAAAGAGTCACACAAGACTTCCCAGGCTGGCTTTGAAACAGGATCCTCAGCTCTCAGGCCTCCTAAGGAGCTAGGATTACAGGCATGAGCCACTGGCACTGGCTACAAATAACTTGTTTTCTGGTGACCACTCTAAATGGTAAAACACAATGAACTGAGAATTCAACCATCACTTATCATACTGTATCTTCTTCCTAATCACAATGTCCTACTTTATATATTTTAAAATAATAAACTGTCTTGATTCTTTTTTTTTTTTTGTCGGTCGTGGGGCTTGAACTCTGGGCCTGGGCACTGTCCCTCAGCTCTTCAGCGCAAGGCGAGCGCTCTACCACTTGAGCTACAGCGCCACTTCCAGTTTTCTGGTGGTTTATTGGAGATAGGAGTCTCAGGGTCTCTCCTGCCCGGGCTGGCTTTGAACCATGATCCTCAGATCTCAGCCTCCTGAGTAACTAGGATTACAGGCGTGAGCCACCAGCGCCTGGCCTGTCTTGATTCTTGATTAAGAAGATTCATTTAAACAGTGTCAGTTCTAATTTGTTTTTAAAATAAAATCTATAAATGTCTTTAGTTGTTGTAGTTAAAAAAAAAAAAAAGAGAGAGCCAGTGCCCCATTCTTATAATCCTAGCTATTTAGGAGGCTGAAACCTGGAGGATAGAAGTTCAAAGCCAGTCTGGATAGCAAAGACTGTGAGACTCCATCTCCAGTTAACCAGTAAAATGCTAGATTGGAGAAGTGGCTCAAGTGGCAGAGCACTAGACAGAAACAAAAAAGCCAAGTGAGAGCATGAGGCCTTGAGTTCAAGCCCTGGTGCCAGCATATACACACACTGACAGAGACACTTAAGCATACATGCACACAGACAGACACACACAAGGTCTATTAACTTATAAATGATACTTTAAGAAAGTTATTGTTATCATTTTATTTTTATTTTTGTCCATGGTGGAGCTTGAACTCTGGGCTTGGGCTCTGTTCCTCAGCTCTTTAGCTTAAGGCTAGTACTCTACCACTTGAGCCACAGAGCCAGTTCCAGTTTTCTGGTGGTTGATTGGAGATAAGAGTCTCACAGACTTTCCTGCCTGGGCTGGCTTTGAAATGCAATCCTCAGATCTCAGCCTCCTGAGTAGCCAGGATTATAGGCGTGAGCCACCAGCGCCTGGCTAAGGAAGTTATTATTTTTAAAAATAAAGATAGGACATTGGGAAAGATAATGAGTTCCATAATAGAACTACTGACTTCAGCTGATTAAATGAATGTTTGTCAAATAATAATAGAGAGCAGATTAATTTATATGATTAAAATGCTTCAGGTTTTAGAAGTAGTTCTTAGCAGAGTGTGGCAACCTTGGAGGTACAGGCAGGACAGGGAGATCCCATCTGCACACGAACAAAAGGTCACACTGAGGACTGATTCTATCTTCTTACCTTTTCGTCGAAGTCCATGAAGTTGGACACGACTCTGACATTTGGATAATAAACTCCAGCTTGGCGGATGACTTCCTCCAGGACATCACCAATTCCAGCCGAAAAGATGAACACAGGCACGTCGTGCTGACGCAACTTATCGAAGAAATTCTTATAGCCTTCCCTGCCAGGTAGGGAACAGACCCATGGTCAACCCTTCCCTGCCTTGGCTTAATCGCAGAAATTCCCCTCTACCTAGCCCTGCCTAGTGTTGTATAGAGAAGAGGGTGGTTGAGGTAGGGAACAAATTCATTGTTAATGAGCAGAGTATTTCCTGGCTATTTAGAAGGGGAAAGGAGAAAAATTTCTGCCTAATTCTGTGGTTCATTTATATTTTCATCTTTTAATCAGTCATAAAATGAGATGTGTTTAGGTCTTCAATGAATATGGATACAAGGATTCACATTTATACCACTTAGAGGCAAGTAATTAAAACCACACCTTGAAAAGCCCATTCAGGGTGGCCATTGGCCTGACTGCTTGGCTCTTCTCAGCCACCAGAGAGCAATGGACGAGCTGTGCTCTGTACTCCTGACATCTCCTTCACAACTCCTCACCACCTTTTGCCATCCTTCTAAGTTGCAGGCTAACCTAACCAATCACTCACTCATGGATCGAATACTCAGCCATACACAACGCTCTTTCTGACAAGTTCATAATTTCCACACAGAAGTAATCACTTTAAAATACACCATCATTAGGGCTGGGAAGGTGGCTCAGTGGTAAAGCGCTTGCTTTGCATGCATGAGGCCCTGGGTTCGATTCCTCAGCACCACATAAGCAAAAAAGAAAAAAAGCTGGAAGTAGCGCTGTGGCTCAAGTGGTAGAACGCTAGCCTTGAGCTGAAGAGCTGAGGGACATCACCCAGGCCTAGAGTTCAGGCCCCATGACCGGACCCCCCAAAAAAATGATAATAAAATAAAATAAAATACACCATCATTCAGACTGAAAAAAGAAAATGAAGACTTGGCTGGTGGGAGGCTGCTCAGCATCAGAGCTCTTATTGCCAGGGAGAGTACCTGGGTCCTGATCCCTAATATCATGTACACCAAAAATGTAGAATCATATTTGTCTCATGAGTTGAAAAACATTTATTTTTGTTGGTTGTAGGGCTTGAACTCAGAGCCTGGGTATTATCCTGAGCCTCTGTGCTCAAGGCTAGCACCCTACCACTTGTGCCACAGTACCACGTCCACTTTTTGAGTGGTTAACTGGAGATAAGAGTCTCACAGGCTGGGCGCTGGTGGCTCACACCTCTCTAATCCTAGCTACTCAGGAGGCTGAGATCTGAGGATCACAGTTCAAAGCCAGCCTGGGCAAGAAAAGCTGTGAAACTCTTATTTCCAATAAACCACCAGAAAATGGGAAGTGGTGCTGTGGCTCAAGTGGTAGAGTGCTAGCCTTGAGCTGAGGAACAGTGCCCAGGCCCAGAGTTCAAGCCCCAAGACAGACAAAAAAAAACCCCATCCTCATATCTCAGCCTCCTGAGTAGATAGGATTACAAGAATGAGCCACTGGTGCCTAGCTGTGAGTTGAAAATTTGAACAGATGGTAAGCAATATTGCAAATTAGATAAAAGCCTTTTACATATTTTAATTCACAGTATTTTAATTATTTTAATTATGAAAATATATTTCCTATAACATTTCAATGAAGTGTGACAACTGAGAAAGTAGATTACTGGAAATTTAGAAACAACGTGCTTAGTTAAATCTTTCCCAACTTGATTACATTCATATTTAAATATTCCTTTCATATTATACATCTTGCAAAAATGTTTTTTGCTAAAGGATTTCAAAATGGTCTTGGTTGCCTAAATTCCTAAGTAAGTCTAGCCTGCCTTATTTTTTGTTTATTACGTGTGGTCTTGACTAAGTGCAGTCAAAACAGAGTTCCCATGTGGGTTCATATATCAGCAGATGTGTATAAGCTGTCCCATGCATGTTTCAGTCAGCTGTGTTACCTGCTGAGTTTTTCCTGACCTTCATTTTGTGACCATTTGCCTCCAAAAAAGCAAATAGTAAGCTGGGCACTGTGGCTCATGCCTGTACTACCCAGGAGGAAGAGATTTGAGGATCTTAATTCAAATCCAGTTCAAGCTGGAAAGTCTATAAGATTCTTATCCCCAATTAACTACTCAGAAAAGGCCTGTAGTGATGCTGTGGTTCAAGAGGTAGAGCACTAGCCTTGAGCAAAAGAAGCTCAGGGACAGCGCCCAGGACCTGAGTTGAAGCTACAGGACTGGCACAAGAAAAACAAAAATCAAATGCTGCCCCCAAAGCAGAGTGAAGATGAATGTACTTTACTAAAGTAGTAAGTGAAAATCTGAGCTAATGACAGGTAGTTTGTCTTTCAAGGAAGTTGCCTGGTTGGGGGAAAATGAGTCAGGCACCTTCAGGACAGTACTGATCTTTATGCATCCTAAGCATGTGCAGTTTTCCTCAGGGGCAGTCTCCTTGGAACCCTGGAGGGTCTCCTGCATGTCAACACCAATAATAACAAACAAATCCCCTCGGCACTTACTTGAGCATGATGTCAGATTCAGCCACAATTTCTTTAAGTTTAGCTTTCTGTATACCTTGTTCAACAAGCAAACCATGTGATTTAGTATACCTATAGGTTAAGACAGAAGAAAAACAGGCAAATGAAAACACAGCCGGAACAAACACCACCACCACCACCACCACCACCAAAAGACATTAGCTAGGTTCCAGTAGTTCATGCCTTACTTCTAGCTACTTAAGAGGGCTGACCTGGGGAGGACTGCATTTTAAGACCAGACTGAAAAGTAAGGCTCACAAGACCCCTTCTCACCCCATAGGTGGGGGCAGTGGCAAACTGTCCTCCCAGTTTCCTAGGAGGTTGAGAACAGGAAAGTCATTGTTCAAGGCCAGCCCAGTCAGAATAGTCCACGAGACTCTTATCTAAATAGCAGATGCTGGGATGATGGTATGAACCTGACATCTCAGCTACAAAGGGAAGCACAACAGGTAGATCACTGTTCAAGAATGTGCCTGGGCATGAATCAAGACCATATCTTAAAAAAAAGCAAAAACAAAAACACAACAACAGTACAAAAAAAGGTCTAGAGGTATGGCTGAGTGATTGAGTACCTGCTTAGCAAGGCACGCGCGCACGTGTGTGTGTGTGTGTGTGTGTGTGTGTGTGTGTGTGTGTGTGTGTGTGTGTGTGTGTGTGTGTGTGTGTGTGTGTGTGTGTGTGTGTCTGCTTGACACAAAGTCTTACTATTGTAGCCCTAAACTCCTGATCCTCCTCCCCTCCCACCTCTCTCTCACCTCTGTAGTGCTGGGATTACAGGCATGCAGCACCATACCTGGCTGCAAAGTATTCTTGAGTATAAGAAGGTGATTTTTGCTCACCATATTGCATTTAGACCTTAAGAGATTTCAGCTCATCACTGATGAATGGATATCTCAGTGTGCCTAAAGGTGCAATGTGTATGTTTTCCTGTATTTCCCAGTTCTCACAAACTCAGGCTTGGCTTGAATAGGCTAAGGTAGTGAGAGTAACAGGCCATAACCCTCTCTTCAGTCTGCAGACAAGAACACAAGCCAACTTAGGGTGGCAAATCATCTCCAAGTTCAGTAAGCTGTCACTTGGGTCATCAACTTAACGTCTGAAATGTCTGAGTTCTGAAGTTCTGCCTATGCAGCATGGAGAATGTATGCAGATGGGTATGTTTTATAATTAGGTAACCCCCTTAGGCCCTACCTCTCAGGGTAAGAACTCTAAGAACTTGACTCATGGCCAGATGACTCAGTGTCCTTGAGCAGTCCCTCTTGGTGAAGTGAGTTACTGTCCCTGCCTCACAACAAAGCTGATGAGGAAGGACTAGCTGGCACTCTGGTTCCAAGGGCAGGTAGAGTCTGTCTTCAACATTCAGTACCAGAAACGCAGAAGCCCTGTGCAAGTGGACTTGTTAGGGGATGGGCTAGGGGAGATACACAGTCTATTCCTGGCCTCTTGAAGTTTTCAATTCAAAGCATTTTATCCATGCGGGGCTGTCCTTGAGTGGCGTGGCTGATGTCTGTGGTCGCACTGGTGGATCTGCTGCTCTGTTCACCAGGGTTTGTCCCAGCAGCATTTTCTCTCCCAGAACTCTGGGACACTCAGCTGGTCTTCTTGGTCCAGAGTCTGGCCTCCACATGTGCCTGCTGCACCCAAGCATTCTGCCAATTCAACCCTAATGCTTTGTCTCTACTAAGGCACATCTTGCTCATGTGCCTCTTTCAAATAATCCTCGTTCTAAAGACTGAAGTGCAGGGTCTCATAATGTGGTCTGTATCTACACCATTTTTTGGATTCCTACAGAACTTCAACTTAGATGCTAGAGTGTAAGAGGGAGTTTCCCGAGCTCAACTGTAGTTCTTGGTTCACTGTGAATGAGCACCAGGGGAAACTGCACTGAGTCTGACTAGCTTTTTTATGTTGGTCCTGGAACTTAAACTCAGGCCTGGGCACTGTCCTTGAGCTACTTTTTGCAGAGGATAGTGCTCTACTATTGAGCCATAGCGCCGCTTCCAGCTTTTTCTGAGTAGTTTTTATTGGAAATAAATCTCATAGACTTTCCTGCCCACGGTTGGCCTCAAACTGCGATACTCAGATCTCAGCCTCCTGAGTAGCTAGGATTACAGGCGTGAGCCACCAGCACCTGGCTAGTCTCACTAGCTTTTCTCTCCCCACTCACCACTCCACGATGAATGGGCATTTCTCTTCCACAGTGAGGACAGGGTCAACTTCGATGGCATAGTACTTCTCCTTCAGCTCCAGCAACTAGGAGAGTAGGAGATGTGGTTTTGTGGCTAATGTGCTTATTACAGAAAGCAAAACAAGGCAACAAGTTGTTTCCCATAAATTGTGTTACAGGGCAAGATTAAGTGAGTCCACAGCTGACCGTGAGGCTCTATGGACACTACATATAATCCAATGTACCTGCAAAGAGCCATCTTTCTTTTTAAAGTACTCCCCAGCCAGCAATTAGGATAAAGAAATGACTAATCAGACTATGACCACAAGGCAACTTTAAAGTTTAAATCTTTAATGACTCTCTTAGTAAGATAAACTGAGACAAAAAAGATAAACTGAGTCAGCTAATCAGCAAAGTACTAACTGAAGTAATTTCTCCAAAAATTTAATGGAAGAAAAAAAAAAAGCTGAGCATTGGTGACTCATGCCTGTAATCCTACCTAATCAGGAGGCTGAGATCTGAGGATCTCTGTTCAAAACCAGCCTGGGCAGAAAAGTCTATAAGACTCTTATTTCCAATTAGCCGGGGGGGGGGGGGGGGGGGGGGGGACAGAAGTGGAGGCATGATGCAAGTGATATAGCACCAGCCATGGGTAGAAAAAGTTGCTTTGGATCTCGAGGCCTGAGTTCAAGCCCTGGCAATAAAATAGCTGGGTGCTGGTGGCTTATAACTGTGATCCTAGCCTCTCAGGGCTGAGACCTGAGGATCCTGGTTAGAAGCCAACCCAGCCAGAAAAGTCAGTAAGACTCTTATCTACAATTAAGCACCAAAAAAATCTGGAAGTAGAGCTCTGCCTCAAGGGGTAGATCACTAGTCTTGAGCCAAAAAACTAAGGGACAGTGTCTAGGCCCTGAGTTCAAGCCCTAGGACCAGCAAAATAAATAAATAGACAAATAAATAATAAAACTATATAAAGCCGAAGTGTTTTTAATTTTCTAACATAGGATACTTAAATATTTTAATAGTCATTCAAAAATTTTAAATCTAAATTTTGATGTTTATAGTCACTGTTAGCTAGATGCAGTGGCTCCTGCCTGTAATCTTGGCTACTTGAGAAGCTGAGATCATCAGGATCAAGGTTCGAGGCTGTCTGGGGCCTCATCTCAACCAATACAAAGCCAGAGGTGGGTCTACATGCTTCTTGTCCCAGCTACACAGGATGCATACACAGGATTGTTATCCCGGCTGGCTTTGTCAAGGAATGAGACCTTATTCGAAAAATAATGAATGCAAAAAGGGCTAGAGGTATGGCTCAGCAAGCATGCCTTCCTAGCAAGGCCAAGGCCTGGAGTTCAAACCCAAGTACTTCCAGAGGGAAAATAAAAGTTTCTTAGTTTTTCCTTAACAATACGCTGAGCACAGCTCCTTGCACAGTAAATCCGTGAATGCCTACCATGTAGCAGGAAGGCTGTGAGCCCTGCCCCAATTCTCACTTGTGACAATGACCCCAGCAGACACTGAGTGTGCAAATACACAACCACAATGTGGCTAGCAGGATCCCAGAAATTACCTTCTTTCGACACTCGTCAGTAACAAACTTGCAGTTGTCAATGACATCTGAGGGGGGAAGCAAAGCAGGCATTGTAAGAGAAAATCTGCTCAGTGCTCCCACACCTGTATTTTCATAGCTAAGTCCACGAAGAACAGTGTTAGTACAATCCTCAGTCTCAGTGGTGTGTTCTGCACACACTGCATGTCACAGGCTGCTGTCACCAACACTGTGAGCTGAATCCTGAACTTCCCACCTTGTTTTTTTTAGGGCCCAGTCCTAGGGCTTGAACTCAGGGCCTGGGTGCTATCCTTGAGCTTCTTCTGCTCAAGGCTGGTGTTCTATCACTTAAGCCAGTGTTCCACTTTTGGCTTTTTGGTAGTTAACTGGGGAGTGACTTTTCTGCCTAGACTGGCTTCAAACTATGATCCTCAGAATCTCAGTCTCCTGAATAGCTAGGATTACACTGTGCCCAGGCCCCAGATTATTTTTATTAAATAGAAGAAATGTCTCTTGAAAAAAGGCCTTTTCTTAACAGAGCATTTAATGTAAAAATATGGAAAATAGGGACTGGAAAGTTGGCTCAGTGGTAGAGTGCTTGCCTCGCATGCATGAGGCCTTGAGTTCAATTCCTCAGCACTACATAGGCAGAAAAAAGCCAGAAGTGGCACTGTGGCTCAAGTGGTAGGGTGCTAGCCTTGAGCTGAAGATCTGAGGGACAGCGCCCAGGCCCAGAGTTCAGCCCCTGTGAGCAACAAAAAATAAAAAAATGAAAATATTATTATAAAAAATTGTATTTCTATCATTCAAACTAAATTATTAATATGTTAGTATATTTTCTTTCAATATTAAGTTTTGTGTATTTTTAATTAGATGAGAGATCAAACCACATCTGGAATTTTTATTGCTTTTCAATTTATAATGTGGTCTGTATTTTTTTTTTGACCTTTTTTTTTGTCAGTCGTGGGGCCTGAACTCTGGGGCTGGGCACTATCCCTCAGCTCTTCAGCTCAAGGCTAATGCTCTACCACTTGAGCCACAGCACCACTTCCTGATTTTTTTGCTTATGTGGTGCTAAGGAATGGAACCCAGGGCCTTCTGCATGCAAGGCAAGCGCTCTACCACTGAGCCACCTTCCCAGCCCAGTGGTCTGTATTTATACCATTTCTGCATTGCTTAACTTTTTAGGTTGCTTCCAGGCTCTTGATTTTATGTTGATCTTTTTTTTTTTGGTGTGTGTGTGTGTGTGTGTGTGTGTGTGTGTTGCTGGAGATCAAAACTAAGGCTTTACACATGCTAGACAGGCATAGAAATTCAGCCCAGAATATCTTATAAATGCAATTTCTCTCAGTTAATTTAAACATTCTTGAATAGTTGACATTTGGTGACAAGTTTTCTCAAGTCTCCATTCTCTGCCATCGGACTACACACACAAAGAAGCATTTCCAGAAACACATGTAAAAGCAAACCCTCACCACACAGTAAGAAGGAGCAGTGTCTCACTTCCAACAGCTGGAAGGCTGTAGCACAGGCAACACAGAGATGTGAACGAACATGCCACTGTGCCACGCGGAGGTGTGAGTGTGAAACTGGCACATGCAGAGATGTGAAGATGACACTTACTATGACATGTTGGGCACCTTTTGCCTTCATAGGAGAATCTACTCAGTGTCATATCAAAGTCTGTGATTATCTGTAAGGAAAGGGAAAGGCATTAGGCAGCCACAGAGACCACCGCCACGATCACTGCTGTTCTTTCTACCTTGTGCTCTCCTCTCCACCATGCACTGTCCACTCCACTCCATGCTATCTGCTCTACCCTGCTTTGTCCTCTCCACCCCTCACTGTCCATTCTACCCCAAACTATCCTCTCCACATCCCACTGTCCACTCCACCCATGCTGTCCCCTCCACACTGTCAGTGCCCTGGACACAGACAGAGCCGGCTCCTAGCCCTCTGTAGTTATAATCCGTGTGCTCAGCTGTTGGCTGCAGTTGGTAGCCTTCACTAGGAAGTGTGACCAGTGGCTATTACCACGTCAGATACAGTTACTCCATGTGAGACTGCAGCAGCCATTCTTCTCTCTGCGGTAAAACATTGCACACTCAACTGCTTGGTTCGGTGTGCAGAAACACAATGGCAGCAGTTGAGCCCACGAGGCTCCAAGATCCTGAACTGGTCACACCTGACCCATGTTACCTCATGACCTGGTCACACTTAATCTATACACATGACTCCCCACCATGACCCTATCTCATATGACCTGTATATGTTACTCCATGACCCTGTTACATATGACCTATATATGTCACGTGACCTGTTACACTGTGCTCATCTAACATGCTGGATCTAATTTCCCTACTTATGGTAAATCATACCCACTTAATATGATAGTTTGGTAGCTCATAAAACAGGAGATTGGATTAATATTAGAAATGCTTAAAAAGGAATTGTTTGGTGACTATTCACGCTATGGTTTAATTACATTTAAAATGTTCCTTAAAAAAGGAGAATTACAAAGTTCAATGAATATGCTTCCTTTCTTATTACAATGACAGAGAATTAAAATACAAAACAGCAACCTGAAAGAGTATACTTTTAAATATCATTATTAAAGTGTCTGAATACCTATGCATGGTATTTGTTAGCTAAGTATTCAATTCTGAAGAAAATAGAGTTTGGGGCTGGAATGTATCACAGTGGTATAGCACATGCTTGACATATGCAAGCCCTGAGCTTAATCTTATGCAGAAAAAAAGAGAAAGGAAAGGAGGAGAGAGGAGAGGAGAGGAGTACAGAAGGGAGGGGGTGGGAGGGAGGGGCTAGGGAGGGCAGGGAAGGGACTACTGGGCATGGTAGAACATGGCTGTAATCCTAGGCTAGGGTCCAACCCAGCCTGGGCTACACAGTGAGTTCCAGATAAGCCTGGGTTGCAAATTGAGTGTCTAAAAAATAAGGAGAAGAGACAGAAAGAGAAGGAGAAAAAGGAGAAAGGACCTATATTTATCTGAAGACTAGTACTTTTTGTGCCCAACAGAGCATTCTGTGTGTTTTAGGCCAAATCTAGCTACATTGTTTTAGATTTTAAATCCCCCCAAACAGACAACAAAAGGACTAACTACATTTTCCTGAGATTTTATATAAATAGGAAAATTATTCTACTTGAATGATTAAAAACAAATTAATTCCATGATATAGGCTTCACCTGAAGTTTGGCAGCTCCTCCTTTGATAAGACCACAGATGATTTCTTCTACTCGTGTAGGATTCTTGATTCGAACTGAACTTTTCTGGAATTCTGGCATCTAAGAGGCAAAAGGAAATTAACTATTTTTAATCCCTCTTTTTCCTGGTTCCTCTGTTATTAAGCAGAAGCCTGTATTATTTAAACATACAGCAACGTTGAGATATAGCCTGGAATGGTGGTGCAAAGCTGTATTCTAAGCACTAGGGAGGCAGAGGCAGGAGGCCAATCTGTGCTACATAGTGAATCCTTGTGTCAAAAGCAAATGCAGAAAGGCTGAGGCACTGTTTTTTAAATGTAAGCCACCCTGCTGGGAATGTGGTAGAGTGCTTGCATAGTATGCATGAAGCCCTTGGTTCAATTCCTTAGTACCACATAAACAGAAAACGCCAGAAGTGGTGCTGTGGTTCAAGTGGTAGAGTGCTAGCCTTGAACAAAAGAAGTTCAGGGACAGCCCTCAGGCCCTGAGTTCAAGGCCCAGGATTGGCAAGAAAAAAAAATGTAAGCCACCATATCTAATTACCATGTAGACACACAAGAGTTTTTTAGAGCACATTTATCATCTCCATCTTGAAGACTAAAACTGTGTCAGGCACATAGTTTTTTATGTATGGCACATGCTGGGATTACAAGCGTGTACCACTATGTCCAGCTACATTTCTCATTTCTCCTCTAATAAAAGTGGAGTAGAACAGTCAGAAGAACACTACCATAAGAAACACAGTTCCTTTAGCACCATACAGCGGGGAGGAGGGATTATTTTATAGTGGTTTACGGTAGATTTTACCATCAGCTACACAGCACAGACAATAGCAATATTTCATATTATTGGGATATCTTTATGTGTTTTTATTCTAGATTAGCTATTGCCAATATTAACGCACTTCATGCATGTTATGAAATCCCTAGATTTCTGTCTTACATTAAAAAGAGGCTCTAACCAGGTTAATCTACCAGGTCCTCTGGTATTCCTAAATATGGGCAAGAATGGAGATTCTAGAAATGGATAGAACATTTTCCAGAAGCTGGAAGCTTCCAGAAGTAGACAAGAAAGAGAAGTGCTCATGCTAACATTTTCTTCCTGAATGAAAAGAGCTGGACCTACCATACACTCCACACCCCACACTCCAGCTGGCGTGGAGAATGCATGAGCTCTACCACTCCGATAACCCTTCATGAACACACTATGTCTATCGCTGAGCTACACACACACACACACACACACACACACACACACACACACACACACACACACACACACACACACACACACACACACACACACACACACACTCTACCACTGAGCTATCCCTTTACCACCAACAGCCCCATTTTGAGGATGGGGCATTCACAAAGCAATCAAACCTTGACATGGCGATTCTTCTGAGTTTCAGTGATGGAAGTTTTGAAAATGACAGAAGGTTCTCTAAGATATTTATGTACAAGGAACTCAAGAGAGACAGGCAGGCAGGCTCCACTCTGTCCCTTCATGATCTATTCATTGCACAGTCAGTGCCCTAGTGGAGACTCGTTTGTGCCAGACGCTCAAGTGAGAGGCGAGGGCTGGGTGCTGGCATCCTCACACCATACTCTGGAGCAGTGTGGATGCTGTTATGCAGGATCCCCTCCCAGCTCCCTTTCCAGCCACTGCTCATATCCTGACAGCCTCCCTGGAAGATATAGAGTGATCAGCATGTTTGGCTCCATGACTAACCCATTCAACCGAGAAGAGTAAAGGATGGCATTACCAGTCTCATTGTCACCACAAAACCTAGCACCAGGTCAGAATGGTTGCCTGTCTTAGGTCTTAGAGGATAGCCAGGGGACTAGAACCTAGGTCACTGCCTGGCTATGTCACCACCCTAACTCCTGTCCCAAGGCTTTCCTCTTTCCCAACCAACCAGGATGGTTTTATTATGAAGTGACTTTTCTTCTTATCACAAAGCATGGAAACTTTAAGCCTATGTTCATTTCCCATAATGTTGCAAAGTTTTCAGGCAACTGATTGAACCTGCTCTCCAACTCTGCTTAAGGCTGCTTTCTGCACTCTCAATCAGTGCCCATGAAGAGAACCAAATGCTTGAGGCATCAGCAGCTGTGCCAGTTGTTCCAGATAAATAAGTAGCAAGTGGCCAGCAGCCCTGGAGGGAGCAAGGAATGACAGCAGAGGAGAGAGCTGTGCCTGCTTGGGACACAAGATGTTGGAGGACATCTGTGGAAATGTGGCAGCCAAGGTTCAATCCCCAGCAGAGGAAGGAAGACGGAAATGATCATTATAGGTATATAACACTCCTCCACTGCAACACATACATACACAGACACAGACACACCCACTCAATACACATATGTGCTCACTGTCACTAAATACTTCCCAGGTGCCTTTGGGAATATATCCAAACAACAGAGTTGAAGCACTTCAGTCTGGGAAAGGTCAAAGGCCACCAGACCACTCAGAAGCCCCGGGAGGGCAGGCATGTGAAATCTGTCTCATGCATTTCTTGCCCCACATCCTTTCCCTCCAGGTTCTTCATGTACAAAATAAAGACTGGTTTGGTGATGAACTGCATAATCACGCTTCAAACCTCAAGGGCAAGTTATTTTGAAGGGTGGAATGTTTTTTCCATTTGTTTGTGATACACTGTTACAGAAAACAAGAAAAGGAAGAAAAGGAAAACAAGGCCATAATACAAAAAGCTGGGGTGTACACAGCCTTGCTGTGGAGACCCAGGGAGAGAGGCTGACTGGGGAGGCTGCGCTGATTCAGCACTAAAAATTAAGAAGCAACTCAAGCATATTAATTCTGAACTCAGGTCTGTGCTCTTGCTTAGCTTTGTCTCTCAAAGCCGGGGCTTTTCCACTTGAGCCACAGCTCTACTTTCTGATTTGTTTTTTTAAAATTTTGAGGCAAGGTCCAGCCATGTAGCCTAAGCAAGCTTTGAACTCACTCTATAGCCTTGCTGGCCTTGAACTTTCAATCTTCTTGCCTGTCTCTTACAGCTACTGAGATTATAGGCAGATACCACTGTTCTGGCTCTGAATTTTAACGTATTGCATTTATACAGACGAAGTGAACTCCCAATCATCAGTCTACTTCCACATATGGTTTCTAGATCAATTGGTTTGAAAGTTGTCCCACTTCACTGACAAGTCAATGGTAGTGTTCAGTTCTTTGGTATTACCCTGTGGATGAATTAGGACAAGATGAAAATGAGTTATCTTCAGTTACCATCAGTCCAGTAATAATGTCCCCCCCAAAAGGTCACCCTAACTCCAGGATGGAATTATGAAATTATGTTCAGAAGTAATTAATAATACATTACCTATTCTTAAACTCAAATGTGAGAATAAGGGGCTGGGAAGGTGGCTCAGTGGTAGAGCGCTTGCCTTGCATGCAGGAGGCCCTGGGTTCGATTCCTCAGCACCACATAAGAAAAAAGAAAAAAGCCAGAAGTGGCGCTGTGGCTCAAGTGGTAGAGTGCTAGCCTTGAGCTGAAGAGCTGAGGGACAGCGCCCAGGCCTAGAGTTCAGGCCCCACGACCGGACCCCCCCCCCAAAAAAAAAAAGTGAGAATAAAACCTAAAGGTTAGTATAATTCACAATGTACAGACAGTTCATGTTTAATCAGAGAAAACTATTTGTATTTTTATATGTTCATCTAAGGTAATTATCTTAACATTAGACTGTATTGTTCTGAAAAATGACCCACATAAAAATTCATTGAACAGTTGAGTGCTGGTGGTTCATGCCTGTAATCCTAGCTTCTCAGGAGGCTGAAATCTGAGGATCAGGGTTCAAAGCCAGCCTGGGCAGGAAAAGTCTGTGAGACTCATCTCCAACAAACCACCCGAAAACCAGAAGTGGCGCTGTGGCTCAAAAGGTAGAGAGCTAGCCTTGAGCTGAAGAGCTGAGGGACAGTGCCCAGGCCCAGAGTTCAAGCCCCATGACCAAAAAATAAGAATAAAAATAAAAACAAAAAAATAAAAAAAATTAGTTGAACAACTTAATGTCAGCCAGATACTCTTTTTTTTCCTGGTCTCTCATCATTCACACTCTGTGTGGACCTTAGAGCTCAATACTGCCCGGGTACAAAGGAGAAGACTCTGTTATGTATGCAACGGATTTAAAGCTACCTATTCAACCTCCTAATTGGAGAGTGGAAATACAAATAAATGAACCCAACATTTCTTTGGGAGCTTATGCATTACCAAATTTCCATGATCACTATGTCCCCTGTGTACCTCAATCAGGAAGGAGAAGACCTAACTGGTGCATCTACTTGCTCATCAGAAGAGCCCTAAGTGTGAGGCCATGCATTCTGCAGTGTTATAAGACTTCTGAAGGCTTATATTCAAAGCACATGTTCTAACACAGAATGCAAGGCAGGACCCCAAGTGACTAGCACAATGCTGGAAAGCCCAGTTAAAACATACAAGGCACAGAAGAAAGGGAGCTATGATACTGAAGGTCCAGGAAGAAGAGTGGGCTCAGCCTTGGAAGAGAGTGGAATCTGGATTCACAGAGGATGGAGAAAAATCAAAACTGAGAGTCTAGTGTGGAACAGAGAAAGAACAGTATCGTAACTATACACAGAGGAGAGAAAATGAAGACTGCAGAGGCTGGAACCAGCACAGGAGGCATGAGGAACCTATGAACTCTACTGGTACTTTCAGAAAAAGAAAACAAATGTAAGGTTAAACTTGCATCTATTATCAACAATACCCAGTTTTATTCTCCTTTACTTTTGGATTTTTCTTGTCTATATTCAGGGAAATGGAAGAAAGAGTTTGTATTGGTACCGTTTCTCCATTCAGTGGCTGGTTAATGGGATTTGCTAGAATTTATTCTGATTGGAAGGTAGAAACAGAGCCTTATGTGTATGTTGGTGCAGAGATACATGAACTTGCCTTAATGGGAAGATTGAAAGGTATTATGTTCATACATCTGTACAAATTTATAAATATACTATACATATGTGTGTATAAAGGTATGTATACATCTATTTCCCTAAAAAGTGTGTAAACAATCTTTATTAAGCAAGATTATATGCCCATGATCTGAGCATTGGTGGCTTGTGCCTGTAATGCTAGCTACTCAGGAGGCTGAGATCTGAGGATCACAGTTTGAAGCAGCCTGAGCAGGAAAGTAAATGAGACTCTCACCTCCAATTAACTACCACAACACTAGAAGTGGAGCTGTGGTTCAAGAGGTAGAGCACCAGCCTTGAGTGCAAAAGCTCAAAGACAGCATCTAGGCCCTGAATTCAAGCCAGAGAGAGAGAGAGAGAGAGGAGAGAGAGAGAGAACAAAGAATAAAAGAGAAAGGAAAAGAGAGAAAGAAAAAAGGAAGGAAGGAAAGAAAAGAAAGAAACTATGTGCTAAGAAGCATTATAAAATACCTTTTATATTTCAAGCAAAAAGATTTCAAAGATAATTTCAAGTTCAATGCAATGAGCAATGGGGTTGTATTGTGTGCCAAGCACTATGAGCAAAGAGCAGGGTGAAGTTTCAGTCCCATAATGCTTAGGGTGATGTTTCAGTTAGCAAGAGCTCAGGGCAGGAAGTTCACCATTAGTAAGCAGAGATGAAATACTCAATACCCACCATTTTCAAATGCACAGCAGACTCTTGCATTTCTTGATTATCCAATCTTCTGGATTTCCCAGGTGGTGTCACAGCAAGAGAAAGAAAAAGAGGCACACGTGACATACATAAATTTCAGGCTCTTCATGTATGCAAATGATATGCTAAGGCCATGTTTTGGTAGGATTTTAATACCAAGCGATGGAGGCATCTCATTTTTCTCCTATGAAGCTCAGTCCAGCAAAGCCAGGGTTTGAAAAACTGTAGGATGAGCTTGAAGCTGTTCTGTACCACTGAGCTGGTGCTAAGAAGATCTGAATAAGAGCTGCAGGAGCATACATGTGCACAGATAAGACTTACTGCAAGAACCCTTTAGGAACTCTCCTCTACATAGAAGGAAGAGGAATGGAAGAAATCTCTGCACAGGACTAAAAACAAGGAAGGAGAAACTTTCCATTATGTTGTCTATATGGTTAAGATGAGCATTTGAATGTAGTGGACTGACCCTTACAAAATGGGTATGGGACCTTTTTTTTTAATGAAATGAGGGTTTTTTTAAATGGTGTGGGTAAAGTTTGTGTAAATTCATTAAACTAAAAGTAAATACCCTTCCTCGTCATTATTCTAATTATTATTTCTTTCTAGTAGAATAAATCTTAAGAGGAAAACTGGTTGCCAGTGGCTCAAACCTGTTATCCTAGCTACTCAGAAGGCTGAGATCTGAGGATCACAGTTCTAAGTCAGCCTGGAGAAGAAAAACTATGTGATTCTTATCTCCTGTATCAACCATCAAAAAAGTGAGAAGTGGCTCAGATAGTACAGCACCAACCTTGAGTGAAAAGCTAAAGGACAGCACCCATGCTCTGAGTTCAACCTCCCCCCCCAATCTAGATCTATAGATATATATATGTTAGAGTAAATTACTCACTTTTTTTCCTCTCACGACTTTTCTTTTACTTTATTCCAGCTAAATAAATTGTAAAGTTTTACAAAGTCTATTTTAAAATGGCTACTTAGGGATTCTTGCCCAGTATGCATACATACATGAGCCCTCCAAAAATTAAATAAAGAAATAAATTTTGAAAAGAAGGTGGAGTTAGTAAAAGAATAATCATCTCTAATGATTTCTTTAAACATTTCTTAAACAACAGCAAAGACTGATCAGAATTGTGATCCTGGCTAGCTTCTCTTCTACCAGTTCCTGGATACAATGCAAATTTCAGCATTAGAGCCAACTCACTGAATTCACCCTGGCTTCCAGAAAAGGATGCCACAGTCCACCACCCTGAAATTCATATTCTTATGAGGTGTAAGCACTCAGCACAAATGTCAGCCCTCTGGCACTCTGCAAACATTGGGGCAGAGTATTTTAAGCAATAGGGTGCATGCAGGCCAGGCATAAATTCAGGCTGGCTCTGTGGCAGATGTTAGGGAAGGGGTGCAGGAAGAACACATCAGGTGCAGAGATGCCCAGAATAGAAGGTGGTGCCCTTGAACTAGAAGCTTTCTTCAAGTCCACGATCTTTACACAGTAACAACTAGAGAATAATTATCCTGTGTGCTGAGCTCTGAGGTTGAAGCCTTTGAGGAGAGTCCAGATGCCTACCACCCAACCTGGAGGAAGGAACTGCACTTGAAAAGCATGAGCCAGGGGGCTGGGAAGGTGGCTCAGTGGTAGAGTGCTTGCCTCGCATGCATGAGGCCTTGGGTTCGATTCCTCAGCACCACCTAAGCAGAAAAAGCTAGAAGTGGCGCTGTGGCTCCAGTGGTAGAGCACTAGCCTTGAGCTGAAGAGCTGAGGGACAGCGCCCAGGCCCAGAGTTCAGGCCCAATGACTGGCAAAAAAGAAAAGAAAAGAAAAGCACAAGCCAGATATTAGGTGACAACTTTAGTTACAGGATGACACCCCAAGGTAACCATTTACCAAGCAGTTAATGGAGATCATTAATGTACTTGCTTTATAAAACAAAACTCAAACTAATCAAGGAGGCTTGGTGCTGTTTTACTGGAAAGCAAAAAAGATGAAGTTCACTGACACAGCCTGAATTCTGACACTGGAGGGACGCATAAGACATTCTGAACTGTATTTTGAGAGAGGGCTGGTCCTCATTTACTCTCCTCTCACAAATCAGTTCAGTGTCTGCAGCTTGGATTCATCCAGGCAGCTAGCTCACGAACAATCTAACCATCAGTCCAATTGTTTGTTTTTTGTATAGTTGTACTGATTTCCTTGGAACATTAAAGTAATTCTCCCTAATTAGGTTTTTAATTTGGTACTAAAAATACACAAGCTGGAAAGCGAAACTTTTCCAATACATGAATCAAAAATGAAAGTGACCTGAAAGGGGAGGGGCTGGAAAAGAGGAAATAAGACAATTCAAAGTGGGCTTAAAAGAAGGCAACCTATAACAAGATTGTCAAGCAGAAAGACAGAGTTATAGAACTCCTGAAGATAAACTTTCAGGACTTGCCTGGGACTGCTCTGGCCTCAGGCACCTGGTACACTTTCCACAGGGAGGAAAGCCAAGCAGGAAAGCCAAGTGGGGGGGGGGGGGGGCGCGGTGGCCCTACAGACTATGACCCTCATGGAAGCTGACTTCTGACCTTGACTCTGTTCTGAAGCGGTGCACAAGGACAAGCAACATCCAGAGATGTTGGGTTTGGGTACAACCTGACTGCCAGACCCAACAGAGGTTTCATGATGGTCTGCTACATTTTCAATCATTTTTGTGATTTAAACTAAAAACATACTATATAAACCCTGTACACTTGACTACTGAAATCTGACATAACCACGATGTTCTAAGGTGTCTCTGTCATGTCATGTTTGAGTCCTGCTGGGTGCTGAGGAATGGACAAGGAGGAACGCATGGCCTCCACAGCTTAGGCATGCACTGCTCCACTGAGCTCCATCCCAGCCCTCACATAGCTGAATCTTCATGTTCAAAACACAAGTTATATTGTAATCTAGCTTTTGTTAATTCATAAAAGACACCCAGTATAATGGCAGTTTATAATATCCTAGATATGGCTTCAGGGTATTGAGTTAAAATGGAAATAATCTTTGTTATCAGCTATAATAAATGGTTTCTAATCCTAGAGACAGAAAGCAGGTGGCCCAGAGCAGCTGGTGAAGAGGCGTGGGGACTCTCGTCCCAAGGGAGAGAGACACTTCTAGCTGTCACCTACAAGAAACTCTCAAAACCAGACTGTATAAACGAAGACACCTGCAAGTCCCACATGTTCCACACCTTTGCAAACTGCAAAGAACTTTCTCACTACCTGCCTCATTCTACTTTTGTTTCTCAATGTGTCTTCTAAATGCCCCTCAATTTCAAAATGATAAAGAATTAACTAAGAATCATGTCAAACTTAAATACCACAAACTCCCAAGCACACACAAACTGTAAACAAACACTTACCCTGAAGGTAACCGGACCAGCTGGGCCAGCGAAAGAAAATTCTTCCTGTTGGAGGAGAACTAATATAGACCAGGTGCCAGAGGGCGGTTCCTGAAGCCGAGCCTATGCTGAGCAGCCATGACGCTGCTCAGACAGGGCGGGCCACCCGCTGCTCTGAGCATGTCAACAGCTGGACCCAGGGTGGTAAGAAAAGCCTGGGGACACAGGAAGGAGCCTCTTGCTCTAACACTGACAGACGTCCCTCCCCTACGTGCTTTGGATTTGCCTGTGTGCCTGTAAAGTGTGGGCTTGTTTGGGTGGACTTGGCAGCTATCCAGAGTAAGGAGGCCAGGTTGAGGCTGGCAGCCAGCACTGGGGACAGGGGCAGGGTTTCAGTTTGGGAAGCGAGAGAGTTCTGAAGGTGGCTGTGATGATTACACAACCATGCTGGGTATAGTGCTGCCTCACGGGGGCCCTTCAACATTATGCAACATTATGTAACTAAAAAGAGAAGATACAAAGACTCAAGTGGGGTCCACAGAATGCTAATAGTCCTCTGGGCAGGCTGTGCTTGAGGAGAGCAGTGCGGTTAGAGAGGCTTTTACTGGTGCGGTTAGAGTGGCTTTTATCTTGTTCTTCATATTTTCCTGTATTTTCGGTGAACTTTAACAAGACCATGCCATAAGAACTAATTTTCATTTTTAAATACCAAAAAAGCCAGGTATAAGAATGGGTCCCAGATGACTCGAGGAGAGCCGGCCCAGATTACACAGTATTGCTCCTGTAGACCCTATTAAAACAAATAAACAAACAAAAAATACACAACAAATACACAAGACCAAGAAAACATTCCTTCCAGTTAGAAAGAAAAGCAGCCGGATTGCGGGAAAGAAAACATTTTAAAAGAAAACCAGTCCTGCTTTTAAACTGTCATGTGCTAAGACCTTGTCAGGACCTGCCAGCACATGCGGCTGAGCTCAGGAGCTTTATCATCTAGAACACAGCTAAGCTACAATGACATAAATAAACTTTCAGAGCACCTCCCTCTCTCCAGTGCTTAGAGAAATCTCACCCAGGCAACCCTTCAGAAATGAAACTTCGTGAAGTAGTATTTTCTATTTAAAACAAGAAAAAGCTGTTTACCAATTTTTGTGGGGGTTTCATTGTTTTGTTTTTTAAACTGGCCCAGGCTGGCTTCCACTCCTAGGCTCAAGTAATTCTTCTGCCTGCTCAGCCTCCTGGGTGGTGGGGACATTACCATGCCAGTTTTCAAATAGCTTTTACGAAAATAAACTGCTTTTTAAAGGGCTGAATACTGTGGGTCAGGCCTGTAATCCTAGCTACTCAGGAGGAAGAGGTAGGAGGGCCAGCAAAACTTGGTGACTCTATCTGAAAGGCCCTGAGTTAAAACCCCAGTACCACAAAGAAGGGCCTTCTCTTTCTCATATCACTTGAGTCTAGTAATCCCTCCGGAGGACACAAGGACACAGTTGCAAGAATGAGTACTGTGGATGTGTTTGGATGTTTTTTTAAATAATTTTTATCGTGATTGATTACATAAATTTCCCAAATTTCACAGTATTGTGAGATAATGATAATTAGTTAAAAGTCACCAACACATCCTAACCAAATTGTCATTATCTTGGTCTATAAAGTTTGTGTGTGGATGTGTTTTATAATACTAGGAAACTCACACCTAGTACTGGTGGTTCATGTCTATAATCCTAGCTACTCAGGAAGCTGAAATTTGAAGCCAGAGAAGGCGGACAGAATTGAAAGACTCTTACCTCCAATTAACTGGAGAAAAGCCTGAAATGGAACTGTGGCTAATGTGGTAGATTGCCAGCTTTGAGTGAAAAACCTAAGGGAAAGTGTTCTGGCTTTAGGATTGGCTGTGCATGCAAGTGAGTACACATATGGACACACAAGTACATACATGTGCACACACACAGAAACTGAAAATCATCTAAACAATAATTTAGTAGAGGTAGGGACTGGAATCTGGCTGGATGGACACATTCCTGAGAATGCGAAGGGCACCAAACAAAGCCAGAAAAGTGACCATACTGTGATCCATACCTGAAACACAATCCTACGCGGCTCTTACCAGTGGCTGTCATCACTGGCTAAAATGCTAAATCCTAGGCAGGTGACATTCCTTATTCTTCTACTTGTAACTCTGGAGGCATGAGCCATTACCATTTTCCTTTCATGGGGGAGCATGAGGCTACCAGCTGGCAAGTAGCAGAAGTAGATGAGAATGCAGGTCTGACTCCAGAGTCAGAGTCCAAGTGTGCGAGTACTAGTCCAGCCTGGTCCATAGGATCCTTCCTCACAGACACATTGACGCACTGGCACAGCTCAGTGCTGAGAGCCAGAGTCCAGTTATGAGGAGAAAAGGTTTTTGTTTTGTTTTTGTTGGTTTGGGGGCTTGAAGAAAAGTTTTCTTAACATCAATTTTGTGAGCATAAATTGTGTGAGAGCCAGCGGCTCATGCCTGTAATCCTAGCTACTTAGGAGGCTGAGATCTGAAGATCACAGTTCGAAGCCCACCTGGGGAACGAAAGTCCATGAATCTCTCATTTCCAATTAACCACCAGAGGGCTGGGAAGGTGGCTCAGTGGTAGAGCGCTTACCTTGCATGCCTGAGGCCCTGGGTTCAATTCCTCAGCACCACATAAGCAAAAAGAAAAAGCCAGAAGTGACGCTGTGGCTCAAGTGGTAGAGCGCTAGCCTTGAGCTGAAGAGCTGAGGGACAGTGCCCAGGCCCAGAGTTCAGGCCCCACGACTGGACCCCCCCCCAAAAAAAAAAGAATCCAATTAACCACCAGAAAACCAGAAGTGGCAAGTGGTAGAGTGCTACCTTTGAGCAAAAGAGGCTCAGGGATAGTGTCCAGGTCCTGAGTTCAAGCCCCATAATCAACAAAACGAAACAAAACAAGTGGAATAGTAACACTATTCTGTTATTCCTCTCCATCATCAGAAAATTTATAAAGCTAGTGCATCGTCATACAGATGGACTGCTTAGAGCTTTGCAAGAAGAAACCTATTTGTGCTGGAAATGTGGCTTAGTGGTAGAGCACTTGCCTAGCATCCATGAAATCCTGGGTTCGATTCCTCAGTACCACATATAAACAGAAAAAGCCAGAGATGGCACTCTGGCTCAAGTGGTAGAGTGCTAGCTTTGCGCAAAAGAAGCTTAGGGACAGCACCCAGACCCTAAATTCAAGCCCCAGGACTGGCAAAAAGAAAATAAATAAAAAAATAAAAAGATACCTATGGCATGAAAAGAAGCTGGAGGAAATCATCTAAGATGGCTATGGGAGCCAGATACAGAGGGCTGCAGCTGGAGGCCAGCCTTGGTTACCTAGCAAAGCCAACTCCATGTACAGGGGTCTTAAGGACAAGTGCAGGGAAGCAGGGTGTTACTTCCTGCCTGGACACTGTGCTGTCCTCTGACTCTGCCCATAGCTAGTTGGCCTAGTGGACTGTGTAGGCTGTAAGCTGAGGCTCTGTAAAGAAGGTGTGGATGTTTGGAGGGATTTACATTCACCAAGCTTGACTGACATATCTCTAGGGATTTCCTCCTGTTTATCAGAGTCAGGTGTGTGAATGCCCTTAACAGATGTTCTAATTTTATCAGTAGAATAACAAGACAATACAGGGGCGCTGGAGGCTCACACCTGTAACCCTAGCTACTCAGGAGGCTGAGATCTGAGGATCGAGGTTCAAAGCCAACCCTGGGCAGGAAAGTCCATGAGACTCTTATCTCCAACAAACCGAAGTGGCACTGTGATTTAAGTGGTAGAGGGCTAGCCTTGATTGAGCTGAAGAGCTGAGCGACAGTGCCCAGGTTCAGAGTTCAAACCCCATGGCCTACAAAAAAAAAAAAAAAGAAAGAAAAAGAAAAGAAAAAGAAAAAAAAAAAGAATACAGGGGCTGGGAATGTGGCTTGGCAGTAGAGTCCCTGCCTAGTAATGCGGAGGCCCAAAAGTTCAAACCACAGAGCCATCCCCCCCTAAGAATGTTCCCCTACAGAGAAGGAATATGAAGTCTGGATGAACTGACTTACTACTTCTGTGATTTATGCACAAGAGCAGCAATTTCTTCTTTTGTACAGAGTGCTGTCTCTAAGTAGCATTACATCTCTACAGTGACACTAAGGACTCAAGAAGTCTGCCTGTAAGAATGTTCTAGATGTACCACAGCCCAGCCCAGGAATAGGGACACACAGAGCTGAATTAAAAACAAACAAGCAGTCTTGGGTGGAGGATGCTAGTCCTAGGTGGAGTGCTTGCCTGCTATCATTGAAGCCCTCATTTTGATCCCCAGCACCACATAAAAAAACAAACATTTTGTTTCAAATAGGTTGTTTTTGTTTGTTTTCTTGTGATGGGTTAGAAAGAATGAAGGAATAAGACCAGGAGCTTCATTAGTAGGACGGACTTTCAACTCTGTAGAAGAACTGCTGGTCTCCATAGAGACACATACCACTCAGGTGCACCCAGGCAAGCGCCACCCAAAGTTTAAAGGCCAAGAGGAAGAGTAGAGGATTTCCCATGTAGGGTACTCTCTCCAGTTTGACAATGGATATAACCATAACTGGTAACTTCTTCCTTTTTTTGTTTTTATAGGAATGGATATCTTGATCAGTGAAGAACACAATATCTATTTGTGCTCAGAGCACTGTAAATACTGTCCATTAATCAACCCACTTGAATTTTAGGACTTGAAGTGCTAAAAATGATCATTTCATATTTGGTCAATATAAACTTTCTGAGCCAAGTATCGTGGCACACACCTCTATTCCCATCATTTGGGACCCTGAGGCAGGAGAAACAAGATTTCTTAGTCACCCTGGGCTGCAAAGCACGACCAGGTGTCCAAAACCAAGGGGAGAGGGTCCTCTACAGAAAAGTAAACTTGTGTATTATAATCTTTATGACTGTTGACTTAAGTACCAGGACAGGGAAGTAACAACTAAATCCAACACATCATAATCCCACAGCTGGAATGTGTACAGGTGATGCTCAACATTCCAGTCTAAGAATACCAAATCATAATTGGGTTGTCATAATCCAATGATCACTCCAACAAGGAATGCAGTTTTAAACATCAACCAAAGCTTGGCTGACACCCCAAGAGTTGTTGAAGACAATAGGATGAAACCAAATAAGGAAAGCCCATCGTGAACGATTTCCTACACT